AAGATGATAAAAAGATGATAAAAAGATGATAAAAAGATGATAAAAAGATTTGTTGGGTCAGGTGTTATCCATTCAAATGTACCTAAAGGTGTCTGTGTGATGCCTTCTGCAGCCATGCACGTTGTGTGCTAGGAGTTTCTGACCTTCCCTTCTAGGATGCTCATGAAGTGAAATGTTTAATTCTGGAGTAAGTAGCACAAATAGAACCTGAGGGRCACAGGGATGCAGCTCCTGATAACTAATTTGTCAGCTACACTATGGAAGCAAGAGGTCTCACTGAAGAGGTGGTGTTCCTAGAGAGTTAGAATAAATATGGAYGAAAACTTGGTTTAGGTTTATAACAGTGCCTAATTTGTGACCAAAAAAAAAAATCCAAAAAAGTATTGCACTAATTTTCCTGTCGGATTGCACTAGTTTTCCTTTTTTATTTGACAGGATGATGACTATTTTCGAGGGAACCGACTGCCGTGTGGAGTGACTTCCCAAAATGGAACTCGCTTGCACATAATCAGCATCAAACCATCCACAATGTGGTTTGGAGAAAGGAACAAAAAATCCAATGTAATAGTAAGGTGAATGTTTGGGCCCTGTGGAAACCTTGTGTAAATCTTACTTTATTTATAACTTAGACTCAAAATGGACGCTTAGTAGTCTGTGCTCGCCTATTAAGTGACCATGAACACAGATTACCTAATTTTTTTTTTTTTTTTTTTCCTTTTAGGACAGGGGAGAGTTCATACAGAGCTTGTTTCTCTTTTCACTCTTCATACAGTGAGGTTTGTAAACTGGTATTTTTGAGCAGACACTGATGAAAATGCTTTAAAGTATTTCTRATCGCTTCCAAGTGAATGACATAATTTGTCACAAAGATCTTTTCTGTAATAAGATGTAAGAATAGCAAGATCTGGATAATGAAGATGGGATGGTCCCAAAACTGGCAATATTTTGAAACAGCTGCAGAAGAACATGTTAAATGGGGCAGGATTACAAACCTGTCTTGCTTCTTGTCTCTGCTGGAGGTGTAGGTTACTGCAACAGTTTGACTGCCTTTGTGTGTTAGGACACTAACTATTGTGTACTTGCAGAGCTTGGCGTTTGGGCTTTCCTTGCTTTAATCTGCTGTGGCTCAGTTTGGGGTTGGCTTGAGTTCTCTCCTGTYCCCGCACATCCCAATAGAGTTTTCTGCATCTTAGTAGCTGCAGGTACTCCTTTCTGCACCAAAGACTAAAATTAAATGGGAGATTGCAGCACCCTCTCCAGGACCACACACCTTCATTTAATATGACTTGATCTCTCTTATCAGAAACTTATGCTGCAACTGGATCAGAGCTAACGAACGACCTGTCAAACATTGCACAGACAAAGAAGACCTTTCAGCACCCTAAAAAAATGCTCTTGCTGTTAAAGATACCCAGTTAATGAATTTGATTTGACTGAATATGGGGGTTAAAGTATATTGTGAGTAGAGAGTTGTACCTCCTGTGCAAAAAATATACAGATCTTCCTCGTGTGTATAGATAGGAGTACATGCTGCAAACATACAACTGTTCTCAAATAGTGGCACTGATAAATCCTCAGTTAGTGCAGTGCTGAAAATTGGGCAAAATTCTTCAGAAACTTGCAGTCTGGAGAGCATCCAAAAGACAACATTGACAGCAAGGAAGGCTAGGGCAAGAGATGCCTTTTGTGATATGGTCTTTTCCTATAGGATTAAAGGGAGACTTGMAAAATGTCTTTAAATAGATAGGACTAGAACAGAATGGAAGGGAATTCTGTAGTCAGTACAACTAGTAACTAGTCCAGTAAGGAAAAGGTAGTTCTAATGTTAGGGAAAAGATCCCTAATGGGATCCCTACAGGATAATGTTTCTTRGGGATGTGTTGGAAACAGCATCGTGGTCAGCATCTGACCTTTTCTTTTAAAGGTATTGATGGTCTGTGCAGTTGATGCTGCATGGGGCAGTTAGGTGAGACTGAGCATTTGACATCCTGTTCCAGGCTGTTCTGTTATTACAAAGTTCCCCACTCTGATAGTGTTTGGCTCATGGGTTGTATTGCTATTTATATGAGACATCTGGCTACTCACTTTGTGCTGTCGTTAAGTGGAATCATTAACTGTTGGTTGAATTTGTTAAACTGTTTCTCCTTTTCTTCAATGTAGATTAAGGATTTCTTGAGCTATATCTGTCCTGTGAATGTGTATCCCAATGTTCTGCCAGTGGGTCTGACAGAAGACAAAGTTATTGAAATGTAAGTGGCCGGCGAGTGCAGGTCATCAAACCTCTGGTGCGGTCATGACAGCCACTTCCCTGAGTCTCAGTCTTTTCTTACAAAGAGGGAAGAAAAAAAATACTTAATACCAAATATGTAGATTCCTCTCGTTGCCCCCACAGAAGGGATTGAAAGATGATTTTGGCATGGTGTTTAAGGTAAATGACAGACTCTACTGCCTAACTGGTTAAACTCGCCAAGAATTCAAGAGCTTTTAGCCACCTCTGTAGATTTAGGCCTGCTGCAGAGTTGCAGCTTGCTGCAGTGCTTATGAGAGGTGAGAGGCAGTGTACTGSGATCAAGTTTTCGTTTTGCTTTGAAAATGCACCTGCTGAGCTCTATATAATGACTTTCCTTTTCCTCTCAGATTAAAGCCGTTATGCAGATCATACAGAAAAAATGTGGAACCCAAATACAAGCCCTTAGGAACACTGAAGAGAGTCCACAAACCCGACTTGCCTGACACAGGTAAAAGTTCTGTAAGAGCCAAGTTTTGCGACCAAACCTCTCATGAATTTTCTGGTGCTGCTGTGCCCCAATTGCAGGTTCTGAAATCAAGCAGAGCTGTCCCTCATAAATCAATGCCAAAAGCAGTAGTGCTCACTAGTATGTCTGTGAAAAAAGCAGTAGAATAAATAGAAATAAAACCAGTGTACTTTCCATGAGGATGMTGGAGGACTAATTGTGGAAGAATGAACTTCTAATTCGGATAAAACCTGAAACAGTAGCAGACTCGCACTGAAGTTACCAATAGCTGTTCCGAGGTGGCTGGGCCTGATGTGCTTTGCTTTAAAGGTAGTCCCTGTGTTAAGAGATTACTTGGGCTACTGAGATCCAAAGATCTCATAGTTGTGAACTACAACCTTGCTGTAACCTTAGAGTGACTATGGTCTTTTTTACTACCCCTGAACTATTGTGGCCTTGTTGCACTCTCTGTGGCTGCTCCCGAAGCATCAAATTTCAGGCAACACACAACAGTGTTAGTTAGTTTGGACTAACTTGAGCTATGTCAGTGTCTGTCTGGGCTACATCTGATCTGCACCATGCACATACAGGCCAGAGGAAGGAATGTCTGTCCTTGCAGCTTGAAACTGTTCCATGTGACTTCTTGCTCTGTTTGAGTCAACCTTTATTCAAAATAGATTAAAAAATGAAGTGAGTTCTAGAGGTCCCTTCCAACCTTGAATATTCTGTGATTCTGAGTTCTYTAGTAACAAGAGCTCCCAATTCATTTGACACCTCCAGTGACTCCATTACTGCTTTGATTAAAGGCATTAATATAAGTAGCAGCCAATATTGTGAAAGGGAGAAAACAATTCCCTAGTTTGTTAATCTACAACCTGCTTTCTTGAAACTCCTTTGTTTTTTTTAAATCCCTGTTTAGGGTATGATTCTACAAATAATTAGTGAATAATTGAGATGATGCTGAAGGTCATTATGTAGAAGGATTCTCTTTATTAATCTCTCTGCTCCAAGAGAATGCTAAAACTTTCCAAATCTAGTTAACCTCCTCTGACCAGAGAAGAAGGCACTGCCAGGTACCAGCAACATGGTTTGAGTAATACAGACCACAAGGGCAGAACTAATTGCTGTAGCTTTATATGGAAGATGATAACTAGTAGCTTCCTCCGTAAGGCGCTGTCCTACACAAGTCAAGACAAAAACTACTGAAAATGGTCTTTTGGACAGTAAACCTTGTATTGTCCTTCTACACCTCCATCTGGATATCTGGATTAAAGAACTCTTGTGTTTTTACTATGGAAATTTTTGTTTAAAAAATCCATATTAAAGCTCTGCTGATTTTTTTGAGTAAATATTCTTAATCTGATTTTATTTGATGCTTCTCTTGACAGATGAAGATGATCTCTTTGATACTGAACTAACTTCTGTAAGGCCTAAGATTCCAAAACTGCAGGCAAAGAACATGTCATTYAAGACAACCCCAGGTGAAAACACAGAAGAAACCAATGAGAACACACCAAGTTACAGAGCAACCRCTGCACATACCTCTCACAAGGTGGACTTCATGGACTGTGAGGAATCCAATGATGATGATGAAGATGATGATGATGATGATGAAGAGTCTGAAAAAAATGCAGTTGAAGTTCTTCTTTCCCCTGATCCAGCTGCCACATCTGCATCAACTTCCAGTGGACAAAACCACTGTGAGTTGACCCCCGGAGTAACTGGTGACCAACAGGAGTGTCATGCAAACTTGCCCCGCTGGGATGCGTTTTTCAAGTGTAACAGAATGGATGAAAGCTCTGAAAATGAGGACAACTTCCCATCTTCAGCAGAAGCTGGTGGTGGGTCCCAGTCACTCTTCAGTGATTCAGATGGAGTCAGTGACTCAACACACATCTCCTCCCAAAATTCTTCTCAGTCAACGCATATATCGGAGCAGGGGAGCCAGGGCTGGGATAGCCAAATGGACACAGTGCTCATTACCTCCCAGGAGAGAAATGCCGCTGATTTCGGCTGCTTCAACAAAGGCGGGAGCAGAGCAGGGGTTTACACGTTGCATGAAACCACCAAAGACGGTCAGGCTCAGAACAGCAGCTGGAGGCCAGCAGGGCAAAACAGATCTTCTGCATGTGATGTTGCCCATGATTTGAAGAGCAAAGATGCTGAGGAGGGTGCACAGTGTGGCAGTGCTCAGAGTCAAGAGGTGCTACTTGAAGGAAATGACAGTTCCARGACTCCTGATCTAGAGCTGAAGAAGGACTCTCAGAGCTCATCTGAGTTTGAAATTCCCCTCACTCCTGACGCTGAACTACCTCAGCCAGACACACTGCGCTGTTTATATAGGAAGTTGGCAGCAGGTGAAAACATAGTGAACACCAAAATCTCTTCTGGAAACAGTTTGAAGTGATTACATCATGACTGCAAACACTGAAATTTGCTCTTTGAACTCCTCAAATTTTCTTATCTTAGCATAAATAGTGTAAGTATTTTCTTGTGCATTGATCTGTGCAGTTCTTCAGCCATCATAAATGGTATGCTGGGTTACAGCCTAATGTTTTATTCCTTCCATGAAATATCAAAAAGAAAATATTGCTAAAGCAGATTATAAAAGCTTTCCTAMCTCATGTAGTTTAGCTGCCTAAAAGCATAAATGGATTAAAAAATAGACCAGACAAAATTAAGACTGGAACACTAAATGGAATTTAGTGTTTTTTTTTCTTTTTAAATCAAACTCTAAGAGTTTACCTTTGATACAGATGCGTGTTTTACTTGCGACAGTTAAAAATGAGATGTTCTAAATAATGTGCCATCTTTCATGAATGATGATGCAAACATAGTGGTTACACTTAAGTTGTATGAGTTTTTACTTTTTCATAAACAATTGTACAACACAGTAAGAATTAGTGAGCAGAGTTGTTTTAATTTTTTTTTGAGTAGCTGTCACTGAATTTAACACCTTAACATGATACAATAAATTTAATTCTATGATTCTGTAAAGAACTTGTCCTCAGTTCTTTGGCGTTTTCATTGTTATCTTTCGTAGCTATTTGAAAAAAAAAATCCCTGGAAGTTTTGGTTCAAAAGCTATTCCAGTAGTATAGTTGAGAGACTAAGTCATAGGAACAACAGCTAAGCTGTTATCTTGGACAGGTTCTGTTACGTTACTTTATCTCTTGTTACCCATTTTGCCTCTTTCAGCACTCCACTGACTTTTTGTTTTATTTTAAAATAATCTGTTCTCCCTCCAAGTTGCCTTGCTAATTAAAGTTTTGCAAAGTTTCCAGCTCCTACAGGCTTCACCAGGCCACAGAACTTGGGCAGAGACTGGGGTAACAGGGTACTTTTACAGCAAATGTAARAGTTAACTTTACATACAAAAAGTTAACTTTAGCTACAGTTAACTGACAGATTTTTTTAAGAATGACAACAACCAAAGAAAAACTAAATTTAATTTATTTTATCAAAAACTATAGGAAGATAGCAATACTCAAGATCACACAATATGAAAAGAAAATGTTCCTGAGCTTACAAACTGCATCTTCTAATGTACACAGTCCTAAAACATACATTAGAAATAACCAAGAGATTGACTTGACTTTGAGATTAAATAAATACATAATAGCTTTTCTTACAGATGAKCTTGCAACATTAGTTCTGCTACCTAAGAAAACCAGCCAGAGGACAGATCATAGGGTACCAGATGTGTATCTACACAGCTGCATTGGTGGCCATCATGAAGCTAAGAGACCACAAAGCAGAAGCTGGRCTGGTTTAGGCTCCTTAAGATAGTGGTAAGCGCTTTTTCTCCTTTTCCAATTTGTTACTTTTTTCCCCAAAACTCATGAAAACAGCAAAAGGATTTTTTTTTTTTTAAAGAAGTATCCCATTCAGCTAATTCTCARATGGTAAACTGAAATACACTGTAAATATAAAATACTATTTAAGTTCTATATTAGAARGTGGATGCATGTGGGTTTATGCCAAATAAATACAAAATACTGTTACCTCTCAAAGTCTAAGTTCAAGGTCCTTTATTCATCGCACAAAGAGGTAACATACATATCCTTGAAGAACAGCAGTGTTATTTCAATGCTGGTGCTAACATATACTGCCTTGAGAAGAGGCAGGCATTAAACTCAAGTACAACGAGTAGAACTTTGTCTTTTYAAATGCATTTTACTTAGGATTAAGTCAAACTGGGTGTGGGCAAAAACTGACGAGGAGCTTCAAACCCCGACTATATGTCACCTTGTCCAGCCTGAGAACAGGATCTGGCAAAGACTCTGCCTCTTGCCACAGCCACTCCGGCGTTCTAAACCAACAGGAAGGGCTGCAGATCTGCAACAGACTAGGGAGCTGGAGATCACAGATTCCATCCACACGGAATGCGTTGCTGAATCGGGCTACATGCAAGAGAAAACCTRTTAATTCCGAATGACATAAGTTTGTTTGTGAACACTGAAGCTCCACATTCCACATAAGCTTTAGAAACGATTCTTAGAGACATGATATGATAAAAATTGTTTAGATTCTGTATTTATCCGAGTGTGGATACAGCAAAGCCTCGCAATGTCAGATACCTTTAAATCTAGGCAAGCTTCTTCTTATTCAATAAACAATATAAAGTAGCTATTTCAAGGTGTATCTCTGTAGATTACAAAACTTACAAAGCACTTCCAAAGGCCCTCGCTCTTCATCCAAACCACGAAACGTTGTCTAGTAGCACATAAAATTTCTCCTTCTGCCAGAGAGCCAGATCTTCAGTGCAAACACAACTGTGCTTAATCAACAAACAACCTGGATTACCCTTTGAAACACTCTTGTTGGAGTGCTAGTAATTAACATAGAATTTAAGGCATTTTCTAACAAATTAAGTAAATTGTTATATGCTGGGTACTTGACTTCATTCACCTGAGCCAACAGCCTTGTACCTTATAAAGGTAACCAGCTGACCTATGATACATAGCGAGCGTCCATTTATGGAGCAACATTATTCCGCATGACCCTATCCACAGATACATGATTTGTGAGCGGTATGCAAGTCTTACAAGCTTTTACTCCGTGAATGTAAAGCACTTAAGTCATCCCTGGAATAAGGACCACGGCTGCAACTCTACCCATAACCTAACTGAACTGCTCTTCAGTGTTTCTGAAGCCAAGCAAAACTTCGCATATGTTTATCAATAAAATCAATGCAACTTTAAGATGATCAGAAAAAAAAGATACAAGCAGCTGAAGCAAAGAGTATTTCTCAGCCTTTACATTCAAAAACATCTTACATACATCTACAACAAGTAGGTCAACTCAACCCCTAGTCTAACTTCACTGAAGTTAACATTTTTGCAACAAGAAATAAAAAAAAGAGGCCTAACCTTTTAAAAATCTGTCACTAGATAAAAAAGTCACAGTATGTATAAACTTAATTGAAACCAGTTGTGAATACAAATCACTTCCCAGGTTACTTCTTTCTGTACTTAAACAGATAACCAAGTTTATCTTTGTAATACAACAGCTTGGTTAAACAACGGGGCTGCTTTCCCTATTCTTTTGTTACCTATTTCCAAATTGTAAGCAGTAATTTGTTTCAGCAATGACTGCCAAATTTAAACAACCAAAACAAACAGCGTATGTTAATACCAATAATCTGATATTTACAAATTCTCTGTAGAATTGCAGACTGTCTATAGCATCCTAACTAAAAATCAGAACTTCAGAAGGTAAAATTTCTATTTGTTAACCTAAATAACAAACTAAAAGCATTTGTTTTGCAACTCTGCTCTTGCAACCAGAATCTGCTAATGCCAATGACTTTACTTATGTGAATTTCATGGACACTTTAAAATCTTTATTCCTGTGAACCTTCATCTAGACAAAGTCTGAGGGCTTTCCTTAATCCTTCACCATGGTGCCATAAATGTTATTGCTAATCTTCTAGAGCTTTTCTTTTAAACAGCAAAATAAAAAGAAAGAGAAAGAGAAAGAGAAAGAAGCAAGAGGATCCTTAGCTACGATTTGGGACTTAAACACAATGCCTTCAGTCTTGTCTTTTCAAGGTACACAAAGTATGCAACATCCTTTCATCTCACTGAAATTAGTTCTTAAAATGCCTAGGGCTGTAACTTTACACTCAATACTCCGATCAAGGTACATCTTCAAGCATTCTCTCAGCATACATTTTACTGCTKCCTAAATAACAGTGCTAGGAAAAAATTAAACTTTAAGTCCATGGTATTGGTTTCATATTTGCCTGTAACACTATATCTCTTTCTTTGGCCAATGCCATTTTGAATACCAATGTAATGCCTTGTTTTCATTGTACCTGTTTATATTAGATGTAAAAATACTCTAAAATATGTGCAAGAGAACAGTCTTCTTAAAATCCATTTAAAACCGAACGACACGTTGGTGACTTTGGACACCCGGCCTCAGTTGAGATAGCCTCTGCAACACACAGCTCCGCATTTACACACAGTTCGGATCCTCTTTCTGGAGGGGCTAAGACCATCAGCAGAGTCTGAAGTCAGATCTATTGAACCTGTAACACAGATAAATGCAAGTAAGGAAGCTTATAAAAAGGAACAAACAAAAAAAATCCACAACCGACACTGTGCAATGTGTCCAAGACAAAGGCTTCATGCCAGCCTGGTTCTGCAAGAACAGCGTGTGAAGCTAAGCACAATTCTACTGACATCCATGTGACAACTACTTACACACCACCTAGTACACACGTCAGAATCAAAGCACACAAAAAAATGAGCCTTCTATCCTTAGGACCATAGCAAAGCTCATCAGTTGAGACTTTAGCCTGCCTTGAACATTATACAAAAAAGAGGAATTTTAAGGCATCAAGGTTGCTGCATGCACAGCGGAGGGCAAAAACATTAGGATACAAACACAAACCTACAACACATCTATTTTCTTTGCATCTGTCAAAAGCAGTTGCATTTACAGGGACTACTTGAGAAGCAGTCAATTTGGAAACACCAAGATTTTTCAAACAGTATCCAAAACAGGTTTTCATCTTATTTCCTCTTTTGAGCATTTTTGTGCCAAATCTTCCAAATAAGTTGCCTTGTGAGAGTTTCAAACCAAAATTCCTCCCTCTGAGCTGGGAATGCTGAAGGACATGATATACCAGAGGCAGGAAACACAAAAAAATCTCCTGTTTGCTCTGTCTGCACTACAAGTCAATGAGATAACTTCTATTCTAGAATCCACATAGTTCCATTAGTGAGATGCAGCATTAGCCTGACCCAATATACTGCTATTGAGCTGCAACAATATCAACTAATAAATCATGTCTCCCACACAAAAAAAAGGTGGTAAAGATCTACAGACCCTTCATCTGATAATCAAAGGTTAGCTCTTCTCCAGCTTTGATGGTCCTTGTAGAAAACAGTGCTATCCGAGGAAGACGCAGATCAAGATTATCGATAAACACATTGAAGACTTGAAGATTTGGATCACACTGTAAGAAAAAAGTTTCTGTTAAAAGGATAAACACTTCAAGATATGCAGGAAAGCAGTGAAACTTTTTTCTGCAAACAGATTATGGTCACAGGAAAGGAAGTAGTAGGTATCTTCGCAGTGATAAAAGACTGAAAATCAACTTATCTCCTGAAATCAGCAAATTATGTTTGGGTAAACAGCATCAACAGAACATTCAYATATTAGGGTCGACTTCTTTTAAGAAGAAGCCTTTATACAGTATGTAAACTACATTAATGTGTAACAGCCTATTGAAAGAGAGCAAGAAAGATCTTTAAGATATGGCAAAAAAAAAAGATGACAAAACTTAAAGCAATTTAAGATACACTAAGAGGTAAGACACATTTATGTGTTTAAGATACACTTAAGAAGTTTTACTAACCAAACTGCAAAAGACCAAAACAACTAAAAAAGTAAATGTGAGAGAACAAGCAGATGACCTATTTTTCATGCCACACATACTCAGTATTCTGTACTTAGGTTTAAGCATTGCTTCCAGACCAGAAATAATATTTTGATACTAYGGGTAAATTTCTGTTTTTAAGTGTTAATCTGCTTGGCTTCCGAATTATTTGCCCTGAACAGGGTGGAGGGGTCAGGCACACTAACCAAGACTAAATAGTTCTTTATCACTTCTTCTAGATTGTCTGGARTCACTGAGACAGTCTGTAAAACTCTTAACATTTTTTTTTCCCTCTCTAAGAACACAAAATACTCCGTATCAGGAAATGAGGCATGAAACTTGTCTTATCATCAGACACAAGACTACTTCGGTACAACTCCCAAAAGTGAAGAATAATGTGGATTATCTAAAGCTCATTCTCAGCCTTCTCCCTAACAAGCCTACTCAAAATACTAATTATATCACCAGCTCACAAATATGAATCAAATACATGAACTTGCTGTTCTGGTTGAAAAATCAACTGTATTTCTCACAAGCACCTAATCAGTAAGAAAGAAACCACTCCTGAATTAAGAGATATTATAATTCACTTTATAGAGTGCAGCCTTCTTGTCTTAGCTATTTCAGTTGAACAGGAAATAAAGCACTATAAAAATATCCTGTTTAAAACGTACTTCCGAGCTCTCTGCCAAGTTTAGATTTGGTAGCTGGGGTGGGAGGGGAGGGGAGAAGTAGTGAAATGAAAGAAATACCAAGGAAAGAAAGAATACCTCATGAAAGAACTACCAAAGAAAATGAGAGAAAAAAGAAAGTCCTTTACCAATTTTTGAAGGATGACATTTAAGTAATACCTAGTAACAATGTATCCAAAAATTCCTCTCATCTTTGTCTCTTTCTTTATTACGTATTTTTCATATATCAAGTCCTTTAGTCTTTTGACCAAAGAACCATTTTGGTTACTAGATGCAGCCGGTTGCCTGGAAATTCAGCGACAACCTCAGTACTGCCATATGCCCAGTTCAGATAGCCTTTTATTTGCAGATCTTTGCAATCAGTAGCCTTACTCTGACTGAAGGACAACTGTGTTGGCATGAAAAAACTACTCCAGAAAGAGCTGTGATTATGATAAGAAAATATTTACAAATAGGTGAAGATGTTTCTGCTGCAATTTGAATAATTCCTTGAGTTCTCAATATAAAAAAAAMCAAATTCTTACACTGTGATTCACAAAGTGGGACACATTTCCATAGTGAGCTGCATCTACTGTAAATTCATCCGAGTCATAGTCCAAATCAAACAAGTAGGTATTTCCCTGGTTGTCGTAGAGCTGGCCTCGTCTCTCTGCTTCCTCACTTGTGATTACCTAAGAAAGTAAAAAAAAGGAAAGAAGGATATTGTAATTATTACTTAATAAAACAAAAAAGCACCATTAAGTTAGAAAAAAAATCTTAATAAAAAAGCCAGCACATTCACTGTTTTGATGCTAAGATAGCATCCTGTCTACAATGAATAAAAAATCATAAATACAGATGTTTAAACTAATTAGTTAGTGACTAACACTTCTTTGGATGTAATTTGCCTATGGCTGATGCGCAGCATTACCCGTCTCAAGAAAAAAAAATCTCTTAAAGTGTTTCATTTTGGCAGGCACAATCAATTGTTTCTATCCATATAACTTTTTCATTTAGGTACAAAAAACTTTATTATTTAACAAAACAAAACAAAACAACCCACTCCCTCTCTCTTTGTGCAGATGAATTTACAACACATACCAAGTCACACTTATCATCCTGTACTCATCTCTCCTCTTCCTAGGAGCATCTCTTCCGCTATTTTTTACTGTAATGGAAGGCCTTCATACCCCTATTTCCTGACAACTTGGACAGATACAATCAGTGTACGAAGCTGCATCTGTGCAATTAAGCCTGGAAGAAGGCCTAGCACAAGGGAGAAACCTAGAAGCTCCTCAAAGGAGCAAAACAATGACAGCTACTTTTGACAGAAGCAACAGATTAAGCAACTTGATCTGAACCTGTTGTTTCAACTGCATTCTGCTGTGCAGAGTCAGCAACAAAATACTAATTTGGCAGCAAAAGAGACACGAAACACATCACAATCTCATAGACAGTCAACTCTTAAATCCTTCAGACAAACCAGACTTGAGAATGTGGCTGTAGGGAATCACTAATGTGTGAGGCTAAATATACATTTTTTGCTTCAAATAATAAATTAACTTAAACATGATTTTTGATTGCCTGGTTTCTTGTATGTTTGCAGAATTTTATAGGAGTAAGAACATGAGAAGTCAGAATGTTTGGAAAAGGAAACATGCAGGAAATACAGTAAAGACGATAAGGATAGTGAGAAAAAGAAAAGTTATTTGGACTGGCCTTAGTAACAAGGCAGAAATACTGTAGATGTGGTCACAAGGGCTGCCAGGAGCTACTGATTCAACAGCCATAGTGGAGCAGAGCAGAGGTTTACTCAGCAACACAGCACAATACAAAATCTCAAGAATAATGTTTACTTAGTCTCACACAATATCAAACAGAACTTTACTTCTAATGTCCACGTTGTAAGTCTTGCTCTGCATGTTTGTCAAAAGTAACCAATACATTCGGAATTACTATTTTAAAAGTTCACACAAAACAAAACAAAGGTCTGACAGACTGACTGGGTGGGGGATTTGATAACAACTGAGCCTGGGAAGTGAGATCAGTATTAAAAGTGCTCTGGAAACAAAAGCTACAATAATCAAAGTTGATGATTGCGAAGGAGAATATGACTGACACTAAAGAAAAGAAGAATTTGTCTTTTAAAAAGCTTGACAGTGTCCATAGCTAAAATAATCCTTTAACAACAGTATTCTCTSCATGCTCCACCTTTTAAAATGGCTCTGGAATAGAGATCTTGAGCAGCAGAACATAACTTTACTGCCGACTTGAATGTCAGTCTAATGCATTCCAGTACTCCTAAGTCTACTTAGCCGTTACATAGCAAGAGTCAGTAAGTAAAGGACAGGGAGAAAGCTCATTAAGTTACTTTCCTATTTCTCCTATTAATATTATGTTTCCATATGAGATAGAATACCTACCTCTCCGACATACTCCATCACAAAACTGTTGGTTTTAATTTTCTGGAGGGTTTTTACTCCCCAACCACGGCCGTTGTTAGTTCGGAAGATGCACAGAGAATACGGTGTCCCTTTCTGCACTATCCTGTTAGGGCAGTCAGGACCACACCTACAATATGAATTGCATTCATAAATTGGCAAGCCAGGCTGGATTTTCAACTTCTTTCGTTTATTGTAAGCCAAAAGAAATCCAGCCTCCTTTGGACAGCATTTCTCAGCAGGGCAGTCGGAGCATTCACAGCCAGTTGTTATTCCATTAATTACATTTATTCCTGGGGCAGGTTTATACTCATTAATGTAGTAAAAGTCTAAAGGAGGGCCTTCGAGATCCACAGTGTTTTCTACAAGAATCATTGCTTTATGATTCTTTTTCCTGTTGAGTTCTTCTTTCCACCTCCGAAGAGCTATTCTTTGCTTAGCCTTCTTTACAATGTAATCTGCAACTGCAGGTTTCAAGGCTTTAACATGGTTTTTCACTTTCAGAGCTTTGACTTCTTTTACCCGAGATAAATACTCATTCTGGTCACTGAGAAAGTTTTGAAGAAGCACTGGGCATTTCAGATTTTTCAAGGGTTCCCAAGTGTTTGAAGATTCTGGCCATCCTTTCCATTTCACAAGATAGTATTCTGTGCCCTTGAAATACAGAAACGGATACAGGTTTAGTCACATTTCACACAGTTCACTGAAATCCAGTAGCACAGAGTACACAAATACGAAAGAATCACTGGCGTTAACTAATGACATACAGTAAAGAAGGTCTTGACATCCCCATAACAGTTAGGACTGGGGAGAAAGGTAAAGTAAAAAAACAAGTTTTCTATTTGCAAGTTAACTGATAGTACAACTTCGCATACTCTGCCAATCACCTCTAGGGGCAAAGAAATGCACAGCCGGAAAGAAAAACCCAGATCACTAACTCTACCCTAGCAGGAGGCCAGTTAGTTAAAACAGTTATGTAAGTTACGTATCTTGTGTGCACAACAAATACAGTAACATCCCATACAGAAAAGAAAGTCTAAACTTACCCCTGAAATTAAAAAAAAAAAAAAAAAAAAGAACCCACCCTCTATTTGTTTTATCAACCGTCATCCCTAAAGGAGCAAGCTATTCAAAATACTTAGTAGTATTGTATTTAGTCAACAAGAGTAATTTTGTACTTAAAAAAAGGAACAGCAAATAACTATAATTCTGTGGCCAAGTCCTGAAACTGAATTTCACTGGCAAAATCAAGCCATACAAACCCAGCTGCAGCACCTGGCCTTGACTCTTTCAAAGCAACAATATTCAAGAGAAAAAAAAAACTGTTATCTTCAAACAGAGGACAAGCATTATAATATAAACCAAGGTACAACCAACATTTTCCTTTACCTCTGGGTGTAACTTTTTTTAATGCAGTATCTCCATCGTTTCAGAAACAGACCTTCCTTCAACATAGTGAAAGTGGAAAATACACCACTTCCTGCTCACAGTTCAAAGTTTAAAAGATATTTTGTTTGAAGCCAGCGAATGCTTTGTCCTCACAGCCTACTAATTTATACCATCAGCAAGGCTACCTTTTGCTTGCTTCCAAACTTCAGCTGAAAGAGTGATCAAATTGGTCTGGATTTCTCTTACCTCGTCTACCTTGTAGTCACACAAATATTCCACCTCATAACTCTTTAGATTCCTGTTGGTGATTCCAAGGGATTTACATCTGAGATTTTCCTTCCTACATAATTCTTGGAGGGTCTCAAGTGAAGCTAGACATGGCACATACCAGGCTACAATAAGAAAATTGGTAAAGAATCCTATTTAATGTCTTGGCTAAATCGAAGTCATTTACGCACTTGATTGTTCGCCTTATCCCAAAGTCCCCAGATTATCATTGGCAAGAGCAGTTCGTGAGTCTTTTGCACAGTGTTTCGGGGAGCCAAACTTATTCCTGCTGTGGTGCATAAAAGTGGAACAGGTCAATGATTCCCTGCCTGAACTTTTGCTCTGTGTAAAATTGCATATTCCGTATAATATGTCCCATAGAATAACGTGCATTTATTAGGAAGAACAAAACCTTTTGGAGGGCAGACGCTGCAGCAAATGAGTAAGTAAGTAAGTAAATAAATAAATAAATAAGTAAATAAATAAAATAAATAAATAAATAAGGAATTTGCCTTGGCCGAGCGGCAGAACGGGGCCAGCGCCGCGGGGCGAGCCCGGCGCTCCCGCGGGCCGCGGAGGCCGCGAGCCCCGGCCGGGCAGCGCCGCGCGCTCCTGTCAGCCGGGAGGGTTTAAAGGGCCGCGTCGCCGAGGGGGCGGCGGGGAAGCGCGGAGCGGGGGGCGGCCGCGGGCGGGACGGCGCCCGAGGCGGCCCGAGACGAGCCGGCCCGGCCCGTTATTCACACGCGGCCGCCCCAAGTCGTGCGAGCCGCCGAGGGCGCCCCGGCCGCCCGCGTGTTCCCTCCCCACCCCCCCCCGCCGGTTCTGCCTCAGGCACCGGCGCCACCGGCGGAGGCCGCACTGCCCCCCCCGGCCTCCCCTGCCACCCCACGGCGGGCCCCGCTGAGGCGCTGGGGGGTGAGGGGGGCAATAACCGCCCTAACGGCGCCCCGCGGCGGCGCCGCCGTCCCGCGGCGGCCGGGAGGCCTCGCTGCGCCCTCCCTCTCGGCCCGCCCAGCGCGCGGAGGAGGAAGAGGAGGGGAAGGAGGAGGGGAAGGCTCGGCAGGGCCGCTCCGGGCGGCCGCGGCGCCGGCCCCGCCGCCGCTCGCTCACCTCCTCGCCAGCCCTCCATGTTGGAGGGGGCCGCGCGCAGGCCGGAGGCGCCAGGACCCGCGCGGCGCTCGCGCCGCCCCC